TCAGAATGAATTGATTCATCGCGATCTCTTCGTGGACTCTCCTACGATGCAATCTAGAGATGGAATTCTGTGCTGATTTTTGAAGAGAAAGAACAACCACCACAGTCCGCAGAGTCATGATTTGCTCGCCACAGCGCAATACACAAAAACAAAAAACCCTTGTTCCGAGTTCCAAGAGAGAACGCTCGCCTGACGGAAGGCCCTTGGGCGGTCCTTTGCATGACACCAGGGTGAATACCTCGGACTGAATTCCGACGTGGATCTAGCGAATATATTTGATTTGAAACAAGGACGAAGTCCGAAGGGACGGACGGACTCTGTGACAAGTCTGGCAGTTTTTTTTTTTATCAAATATATAGGTGCCTGCAGTATTCTGATTGGCCAATTCTATTGAAAAGAAATATCCTGGTGTCGATGAAAGAAGAGAGAGAGAGAGAGAGAGAAACACTATACGCCACCGTGGATGACGTCACCGGTCGAACAAGGATATTTCAACCAATCAGAAGTCTCGGTTAATAACAATTGGCCAATCTGAAAACTGCGGGCACCTGGTATATGTTACTCTAACAACACGCGGGAGTAGTGTACGCACACATCGGTGTGAAAACACACAGGCATAATACATGTACTATCTCCGGGTCCCCCAACCAAAAACAAAAAGCGCTCACACAACAGGCGGGCGAACGCTGTAGGGCTGCTGTACACTCGAACTGCTGTTGCCTGTGCCTGCTGCCATCACGTAAAAATCCATAAACACATAAGAGTTAGTGCCAGGCCGTTGCCAAATCGGCTGGGAAGCTGAAGCACCTACCCCTCGCACTCATCAACGCTGGACACAGCTCCCGAGCTTTTCCTTCACCTCTTCAAATTTCACGTGGTCTTTATTCTTTTTGTATGCATGTGACGGGTCTTGAGTGCAGAACCGTGCCAAGACATTCGAAGGCCAAGCTGGCGGACTCCGCCAATGGAACCCCGAAGATCACCAGTTTCTCTAATGGGGCGGTGAGTGCCCGCGTTACTCTGATGACATTTCTATCCTCCCCGCCGCCGCCGCCCCACAGCATTTCCCCGCACTCTCCATTTGGTCCGCTTCGAAGGACAAATGAGCGCGTCAACTCGGGGATTATCAGGGATTGCCCCGCTGCCGCTGCTGACGAGGTGTTGAACGCCGGCCGCTTCGGCGGGGGTGATGTCGTCAT